GCTACTGGATGCTGGTATTTCACATAAATCCAAATGAGTACTCTAGTTTGTGGTTGTAACAGCACAGTATGCAAAAACGTAGGGTCAGGTGAAAACCTGTTGCAAGCACGGTATGCTGATTTTTTTTAATTTTTTTTTATTGTCTTTTAACTTCCTCATTGATCTTTTGACACATTTCTAAAGTCCACAGTCATAAATTGTAAACGAAAGCCTCTGTGGGAGCAGTGATGTAAAGTTTGTGTGCTCTAAGTATAAGGTAAGATCAGTTCCCTTTTCAGGGCAGATCAGTTAGCCCGCATGCGATTGAAAAGGTTTTTACTGTGGAGCTTAGCCTTCTTTGTTGTAAGCTCAGCGAACTGTATTTAAAAATCCATCAGGATTTTGCATTTGCATTTATGGTTTAACCGAAAACTCTTGTGTGCGCCTGATAAGCAGGGAAACAATCAGTGGACTGATCTGTGTACTCATGTGGAGGTAATTATTAAATGTTGGCACTCAACTGAAATAATTAAACAGGCATTTCCTTCAGAAGACCTACCATCGCTGCTAGACTATCAAATCCTTGGCATAAACGGTAAAGTTGTTGGATCTGTTTGCTATTTAGCTACCTGTGTGGGATTAACGGTTGTTATAAGGATACATTTGCTTCTCTGCCTTTATTTTTATTTTTTTCAGTATGATATAAGACCCTGATTAGGATGTTGGGGGTTACTTTTTTATTATTAAAAGTGATGACAACTTAACAGCTTTAAACAACACAAACTCTTCAACCCTGCAATTACTTTTTTACTAGTTCCTTTATTTATGTAATGAAAAAAAAAGAAGGTGCATTGCTAGGATCGTTAAAACCTGAAATGTCACCATAGAAAGTTTAAACAAAAAGAAAAAATACAGATAGTGGACCAAAACATAGCAACAGAGCAGTTATCCTTACGCTGCTGCAAATGTCACAGATTCAAAACACTCTTGGCCCCTGAACATGACCCTTAAACCCAGATTGCTTCCTGTGTCCTACTCTGAATTGCATCAATCAAAGAATATATGTCCTCGCTGTTAAAAAGGGATCTTTGAACTTGTAGCCGAAAATGAAATTTGGAGAAACGCTTCCCTTTAAAATGGCAACAAAATGAAAAAGGTCTACCTATAACTTTCACTTCTTCTCTATTACTCTGAAACACTGTGATAATGGGATAAAAGGAGAGAAAAGAAAACATCTGTAAACATCTCTCTTTGCCTTTCTAAATAATCTAAGTCAACAGATAATGTTATTCTTTGGCATAGAACAAGCCACAAAATCACACAGCCAAACACCAGGGATGAACCTGATCAAACACAAACTCTTAATGATGTGGAGTGGAAAACAGAGCGAATTCCTTCAAAACAAGCAACAGAACCACCCTTTTACGTTTAGTCTGCCTCAACTAACTGGATCTACTCCTTGCAATAACTGATTTATCAGGTTCCTTCACAATGAAGGTGGAATGAACATGTGAGGTATGTCAGTCAGAGGAAAGACTCATAAAGGAATCACCACTTACAGGTTGATTTATGAGCAACCAAACAGAAATGCTTGATTAGAACAGAGTCTGCCGGTGGCTTTTTTGTATGCTTCCAGGTGAGCCTGTTTGGGAGGAATAGGAAGAAACTACTGTTTGACATGAAACCTTTAAATCCACCGAAGATGCAGTAAGAGTCCACCTTTAATCCACCTTTACCCTGTAGTGCTTTGCAAAGATGTTCACATTCCTTCCACCTTTTCACTTAACAACCATAAGCCATATGATATTTCTGGGACATTTTATGCAATGAACCAACATGTAGTCCAGCAGATTTGCAAAGTTACATGGATGCATGGTAGATGTTTATTGTTTGTCTTAAAAAATAAAATCTAAAAAAATCTGTCTACATTTATATTCACTACCTTTTACTTTGATATCCCCAAATCAATTGCAGTGCAAAAATGTTCTTTAGAAGTAACTTCATTAGTAAATAGATACCATGTGTCTTATTTAACAGAGAAGCAGCCAGGGGGACTGTGCTCATTTTGGAGGAGCTGCGGAGATTCACCATTGGTGAAAGAATAAAGCAACAGCACAGCTGTCATGCACTTAAAAAAACCAAGCCTCTAAAGATGAGTGGCAGGAATAAAGGCGTTGCTAAAGGAAACATCTGAGATGTCATATCCAGTTTGATATATCTTTGCATATACAGCAAACCTAGAAGAAGGGTGTTCTGGTCAGATGAGATGAGAATAGAAATATTTGGTCCATGAAGAACATAGTTTCATAAGACTAAGGTAGGTTTACCTTCTATCAGAATAAAGACTGAAAACATGCTTGCTCATGACTTGGAGTGGCCTAGTTAAAGTCTACACCTGAATCCAACTTAGGGTTCAATTTGATGCTCACAGATTCTCTTCATTTAATCTCAACAAGCTTGAGCTATTTTACATGTATAGAAGAGCACAAACATTAGTCTCTAGAAGTGCAAAGCTAGAAGTGACTAATCTGTTTTCGCAGCAACAGATTGTTTTCCGAAGGAAAGGCTTTTGGAGGCTAAATAGAAATGCACACCAATCTTTTTCAGATCGTTGTTTCATTGTTGATGGTTGTAGATAATTTTATATGTACAATTATGGAATCCAGAAATCAAAGGTTATGAATATATTTACAAGGAACTGATTGATAGTAATAAAAAATAAAATTGTTTTTATTGATATTCAGACTCAAACATCAGACATCCCATACAGATAAAAAAAGTACAGACAAAATGGTAACGAGACAGATCCTACTACCAACTGACACCAGTCATACCCAAAACCCATGTTCTAGACACTCTTGGGTTAAAAATAAATAATTAAGTAGAAATGACAATAATAACAGCAATTGAACTGGTTGATACTAAGTTCCCGAAGAGATTAGGATCTTTTCCAAAATAAAAAAACACCCTGTTGACATACCAAGAGGTTTTCTACATTTACGTCTTAAAGGGGAACCACCGTTTTTTTTTTACATTGGCCCCTTGATTTTACGTTATTACATCATGTTCTACTCACCCATATGAGTTTTGTGTCATTTGGAGCCGTTCTGAAGATATTTGATCAGGTTATATACAAGTAACGTCTTCCTATGGGCAACGACTTGAAGGCACAAACTAAACTGTTCATAATTTATTCTTTATGGTACGCCAACATTCATAACATGTAGGTGAATCACTGTGCCCCAGACATCCGCGGTTATATTTTTCATATTTATATCTTTTAAAAACAAAGCGGCGCGTGTATGACGTCATCACAGATCCTTCCTCCCAGCAGCTATAAGACTCTATAACCTTCACTGTTCCTAATAACCTTAATAAGTTGTTACATTTATGGTGATTTTGCACAGTTAGTCAGTTAAATAACATGCTGCTGTCTTTTGTTCATCTCTGATGTTGCTGCTATTTTCAAATATCCATTACTGTAAAAATGTCCATAGCTGCATATTGGTTATTTTATTATCCAGGTACACAGTATTTATATTGTAAAAACACTTTACAGTACAGTATTTTATTATTTATCTTTTAACTCTTCACTATTATGTTATTTTTATAAATTTTTCTAAGGTCCACATTTGTGCGACCATTTTTTCTAAAATCTTATTGCTGCTGTAAACACCAGAATTTCCCCATTGTGGGACAATTAAGGGATTTTTTATTCTATTCTATTCTGCACTCCTTCCTTGTGTCTCATCACTATTTCCAGTCGTGTCATCCCATCTGCCACCATAGAGGAGCGGCAGAGGCGTAGCCAGAATATTTTTTATAAGGGTGGCCAGGCAATAACCAATGTACACTGAGGGGGGCAAAAGTGGATAGGCACAAGAACCTCACTTCAACTATACTTTCCTACAGCCTTTGCTAACAAATAGATGCATATATTTAAACATCCATGCTTTCTAGATAAAAGTTATAGTGGATAAAATACACAGAAAAAAATCATGCAACTGCAATTGGCATTTACTTAATCATATCTAGTTACTTTAACACAATTGTTTTACCCTCTACCCTGCTAACATGAAACAATTGTGTTAAAGTATCTAAATATGATTAAGTAAATGCCAAAAACAGTTGCTTTATTTATTTTTTTTTGTGTATTTTCTGGTTTGAGTTCTGGGGCAAACATCTTTTCCATTGTCATTACTTACCTACTTTTATCGATAATCATTCTGCATAAAATTGATATTTACTAATTATTTAATACGTTTTTATTAAAATAGTTGTTTATCTATGATTTCACTGAAGACATTTTCTCTTTACCCCATATAACATAAAATGTTCTGAAAAGAGCATGAATTCTGTATTTATCCTGTTTAATGTTATTATATTGATGTGCATAATTAACCAGTCTTTTTGTTCTCAAGAAATTATGAATACATGGAAAAATAGCAATATATGAAAAAAATGTAAATGAATATTCCACTTGAGAGTATTACTGCTGCCACTATCTGTATTAGAGGGGGAAAATGGTAGGGGTGGCCAATGATTGGCTAAGGGTGGCCATGTCCACCCCTGGCCCCCCATCTAGCTCCGCCCCTGAGAAGCGGGCATAAAAGTAAATAAATGGATAAAAATAAACTTTTTACTGTGTGAGGCCATAATAGCGCACCAGCTGACTAAAATGTCGTAACACACAATTGACTGGCTTATAAAAATTTGTGACGTGAACTTTTAACTTTAGATGTTGGAGCAGATGTCATACAGAGTTGTTATATTACATATGTTAAAATATTACAGCCAGCGTATTATACTTTATACGCACTATATAGAGGCTGATTTATTACGCTGTAATTACGCAGACACTGGTTGAGTTGTTTTTTCGGATTTCTTTCAGTTTTTATTATCAGGAAGATCTTGTTAACGCACAACCCATAACCTGAAAGATGAACTTTTCATCCTGCTTTATTTTTATTTCATCTTTTCCTGCCTCCGTGCAGCAGGATCCGCCCACTTTCTTCGGAAACACAGTGCCAAGCCAAAAACTATTTTCCACTGTCTCACTTGAGCAGGCAGCTCAGTAGCGACGTGCCCGGATCCCAGAGCTGACTGTCACCGGGAACAGGCGCGCAGAGGAAGCAGCTCACATGTGCGCATCGGGCAGCAGCCTGGCAGCTGCTTGGTTTTTACTTTTTCCTGGATATACAGTCCTGCTGAGGTTTTCTATGGAAAGACACATAAAACAGAAGGTGGACGCAGAGAATTAAAGCCTCCCTGAACTCTTAGAGCGGAAATCATGGCTCGGATCCTCCGACTGATAGCGCATGTTGTGTCTGCGCTCAGTCTGGGGCTGCTGCTGTCGGAAGGCGCGCTGCAGATGGACACACCTGTACCTACCTGCGAAAAGGTCAGTTCATTTACCTCAAATTGACCTATTTGGTCTGTCTTTAACTGATATTTATTGTTTGATTAATTAAAAAAGATTATTAAACATTCCTTTCCAGTCTGTCATTGTCATGACGCGTCAGGTTACAGACGCGCACACAGGCAGGCGCAACGAGAGGGATCAAAGTGTAATGCCTATTATTTATTTACCATTCCCTGAGCATGACACCTCACCTCACTTCTCCAGTTCTGAGGAACGAGAAACCACTAAACCTTTGAGTAAAGCACCAAACTTCCTCCTAATAAATCCCTATTTTCAGGGAGATACCAGCATGATACATTATTTCTATTCTTTTTTCAGGATTGATACATCTATAAATGCATCTAAAAAAAAAAAAAAAAAAAAAAATACAATACACCATCTAAAAGTGAACTTGTTTCATTATTTGGCGTCAAAAAGGGACGCTTTTATATTTGAAAATGCTTATCCAACAGAGAGTGATATATAACAAGCATTTATTTTGGATGATGCTGATGACTTTGACTTATTCTCTTTAATAAAGAAAAATATTTACCAAGACATATTGTATTCTGACTTAAATGCTTAAATCATTGTAGGAAATGACTTTTTATTTTATAAATTGCAAGCAACAACTTAAAACTAAAAGAAAATATCACATTTTACCCTATATGCTGTTTGATGTGTGAATCATAAATTACTGGATCACCAATAAGAAATACTCTACCATGCAGAGAATTAAATGAAAACATTATTAACTCTTAATCTACCTATAAAACAAGTTGTATTATTTAGTGTATAAAAAATCAAACAGTGTAAATAAAAATGAATCGCTTTAGTGGTTTGTTGCTAATGGTCCTAACAGGAGGACCACTATATTAAATACAAATAAACATCCCTAAGGCGTGGGTCCCATTGCAAGCCACTTTAATTGACCTGATTATAGAATAATAGAATCAGGTAGCTGTTTTATGCTCTTTCATTTATGTGTTTTGTGGGTGAGAGGTTTAAGAAGCACTAATTTTTGTCATTATTTATTAATGTGACTAAGGATTTTATAAATTTATTTTCAAGAAATTAGTTTTAAAATGAATCGATGGGCAATACTTAATAAAGAAAAACTGCTGTAGAATCAGACATCTCTGTATAGTGGAAAGAAAAATGTAGGATTCCAGAAATTGTGGTTAGCTTTTGTTTTGACACTGCTTCCAGGTATAATCTAATGAAAGCAATGATCTCTTTACTGTTTGGCAAAAGGGGTTTTGTTAGATATTATCAGAACAGCAACAATTTTATTGTCATCACCGCCTCCTGAATTAACCCAAATCTCTTACACAGACTGTAAAACAATATTGTTTTTTTTATTAAATGTTATCCAACACACTAATTCTGTAACACAGGGAGACAGTTAGATAGAGATAAAGTGAAATTAAGGAGAATACTAGATGTAGTTTGACTGGTGTAACTTTCACAAAGTTTACTTTAAAAATGGAGATGTAAAGGTTTATTAGCAGAAACTTTTCTCATCATCTAGAAATTGGTTTCTTGATTGCATTGGACACATTTTGGAGTTTTAAACACATGGCATCCCTGATAAATTCCCATAACCTGAAAAGGTTTTTTTTTTATTCTGCAGACTCAGTAACATAAAAAGTCACTTTTTACTGCAGTCTAAAATTCCCTTCAGTCACTTATTTGGACAATAGACACTAATCCCTCTGGGGTTTACCAGGATAAGTCCTTATCTTAGATGCAGGGGACCTGCTGTTTCTTCAGGAACAGCATCTGGCATAAAAACTCAGCCAAAATGACTAAATGATAGGCATGAAAAGAGCAAGCAAATAGTGATTTTCCTGAATTATATTGATCATTAGGCATCTAGCTAACTTGAATGGCATGCTCCCTTGTTTTGCCTCATTTAGTACCCAAAAATTGTATTAATATAACAGCAACACTACTTCAATGTATAAGTAAAAAATTTCATCTAAGAAATTCACCAGATAAGAGTAAGAGATTGGTAAAAACACTACTGAGGTTCTGATTAAATATTTATAAATGATGTTAACAGAAATATAAAAATATTCCATACCATGCAAGGTTGCCGGTATTAGAAAGAATAAAAAAGATGCATTTACACAATGATCAATTTAGCCAGAAAAAAACTTTCCCAGATCAATGTTTTTTCAATCTGAAGCTTTTTTAGACTCATTTCTTGAGTAGAAATAGAAAAAAAATCACTGTGTGGAAATTTAAGTGTCAGATGCAAATAAAATAGGCAAATAGGAGCACTTAGGTACATGAAACAAAAATGTATGTATGTGTATTCTTCAACTTTTACTGTAGATTCTTGAGTAGATAACTTATCCTGAGAGGAAAAGCTTTTGAAATAAATAAATAAAGCAATTAATCAATAAATGCATTGTGTTGAGGAGGCCTTTGCCCTCAAGAAAGGAGCAGGTGTGAGAGGAGACAAATAAACAAAAAAAAAAAAAAAAAAAAAAAAAAAAAAAAAAATATATATATAAATATATATATATATATATATATATATATATATATATATATATATATATATATATATATACACACACACATATATATATATATATATATATATATTTTTTTTTTTTTTACCCGATAAAACAATCTGAACAGATAAATAAGAACTTGTGAGTTTCCGTAAACAAGACAGAAAAGAATAAATCTGTTAATATTTATCCAACTTGAAGAGTGAACGAATGAGAAATTCAACAGAAAGAAACCAAGGGAGGTTGTGACTCATCACTCAAAAGGTGATGCTGTGCCAGTCAACTCAGCCCTGAAAACAGGGAGCATTAGAAAGGAAACATACAACAATACTAATGCTAACCTGAAAGCTCAGTAAAATCTGTCATTATTTTAACTAGATATGATGAATTTTTTTTCCACAACAGATTTGGGTGATCTCCTTTATGAACATAAGGGGGGAAATGATGTTCAAAAGCCTCAGACGACACTGTCCATTTTTCAGGATAGAGTTGGAATACATACGCTTTGGAGAAGCATTTACATTCATTTATAAACAAAAGTACTGGTTTTAAGTTTTAAGACTTTTAAAACAGGCAGACTGACATTTGGTTTCGATCTGTGTTGTACAGAAATAAGTTGCATTTATAATTATAAGACAGTCTGAACAACCCGTCCAGCCAGTGTTTACTGTTACTGTGCTTTAGAGGTGTGGTTCATTTTCATTTCACTCATATTTTTTTTTCTCCTCCTCAGGGTCTCTCTGACTGCAGTGTGCGCACAGGTAGTATCATGACATCTGTTGCATGTGCTTCTGTTTAATGATGACAAGCTTGCACGCCTGCAGTCAGCCTAAACAGGCTCTCTTTGTCTTCAGGGCCGTTCAGCGGCGCTCTGCCTGATCCGTGCGGCTCTCTGTATATAACACACGTTCAGCTCAACGTCACTCACTGCAGTTATATGAATGACTGTAAACCCTGTCTGATAATTAAAATCAGTCTCCAAGGTAGTTTCAACTGTGTATTTTTAATGATTTAAAAATTTTTCAGATTGCAAATAATGACTATAAGATTTTCTGTTTATCGATATTTCTTTAGAACTGCTTTCATATTCTTAAATATATATAGTTCAGAGGTTTCCTGCATTGTAATCATAACAGTGAGAACTACCTATGATTTATTTTGTCATTCTTTCTTTTTCTGAATGTTGCTGCAGATGTGGATCTTGCAAAGAGTGTATCTGATGGGTCAGGTGACGACAGCGATGAGGAAGGTATGAAATAAATACCAAATAATGGTTACAGCAGATTTCACAACATTTATGCTCCTAGTAGTAAAAATGAGCAAAGAGCCTGTAGTGGCAAAATCATCAACTGGAAATTTCAGAAAAAATTTTTTGCCTTTCATTTGAGCAGGTTCTTTTATTGAGAAATATTGCGGTTTAAAAAAATTTTTTTTTTTCTAGATTAAAACTAGGAAGCAGTGCTTAATATAAGGCCATCCCTGCAGTTAATTCTCAATTGTGAGTCAGTGAGGGGATCTTTGAACATTTTTCTTGGTTTAGTCCAGGGGTCTGCAACCTGCGGCTCCGGAGCCACATATGGCTCTTTGGACCCTCTCCACCGGCTCTTAATACTGGCTAAAATGTATATAAAGAGCTAAATAATTTACTATAATATATACCGGTATCAATAGCTTTAGCGTTTTTTATAAGATGGAAGAGAATGAGTTTAAAAGAACCAGAAATATATTTCTAGAGACATTTTTCTATGAATTAGCTTGAAAATTATATGTTTTAACATTAAAAATATATGAATTGATTGTTTGAGATGGCAACAACTAATTTCCTATACAAGCTTTTAAAAAGAAGGTTTTCTAGAAAAAGTCATGGTAGGATTGATAGAGATCTGCAGAGACTAAACTTTAGTCTCTGCAGATCTCTATCAATCCTCTTCATTATTATCATCCCCAAACAGATCCATGGAAGAAGGCTGACTTCTCTATGTTGATTTGGTTATTTGTTCTGGATCATTTGCCTGCCAAATGACCTAACAGGTGAACTAATTTCAGTTAACATGCAACTTGAGCTTTATTTAACAACTCTTATGCATCTTTGCTAATTTTCAAGAGCCCTCTGAAGACAAACAAGCCCACATCATTACAGGACCTCCACTATGCTAAGCATTGACCATGAGATGTCCTCTTCATAATTATCCTGTGTTTCCTACCAAACTATTCATTAAGCAAATTTATTCATAAAGCAACAATTATCAGCTTTTCATCTAAAAATAATATTTAAAACTTGCAGTTTCCATTTATTGAATCAAGCTATTCTAAATAACAAATCAATTGACACTGAAAATAATTCCCCACCTAGATACTATGCGCCTCCTATGAGATACTCACTACATGGACGCTCGTCTTTCAGTTGTCAACAAGTTATGTAATACCAGCTGTTGCAATGAGATGCTTTTCATGTTGCTTTTCAGTGGTTAGACTCTAAGAACCATGTTGAAAGACTCATCCTGTGGTCTTGGAAAAAGTGTTGCTCTGTTTAAAAACACTTAAATATGATTGATTACAGAAAGTATAACCATTGGGTGGAGAACTGTCCATTGCTTTTATTAAGAACTGGAAAGACATTGGGGAACCGTCGTCTCTGAGAAAGAAATAAAAAAAGGTTTGTTTGCTAGGGAGGAAAAATAATATTGGACTCTGAAGGTTCATGGTAAGAAGACAGAAAGGTGAAGTGATCCTCCCATGAAGCCTCATGCCTACTGGAGAAGGCTTTGGGCAGTGGTCAGACTCTAACATCATCAATGCCAGATATTGGAGATAAATCGATGCAGCACTGGTTGAAACTAAATCTTACGACGGTCCAACGAAATAAATGGAGCATGTAACCCTTTTTTGGTGGTGACATTAATTTAAAGTAAGAGGAGCAGCCCAACAAACTTAACATGTTTAGGCTTGTTATGGTAGGACAGTGCTGATAACTATCTGCCATGCCAGAACCACCTGCTGGCATGTAGACTGTAGACAAGGACAGGATTAGTACCAGTGTCTATATATTTTGTGCGTCCTTACCAGGAGTGGCAGTATTTGTGAATGACACTGTAGACGATGTCTTCTGAGTACTACAAATCTTTATACTCTAATTTCTGTTAAATACGTTTTCTCTGTCCTGCAGCTCTTTTGAAAGTGTGCTACTCCTTCCCAACTTCCACTGGTTACTGCAGGGCAGTCACGTTTAAGAGAGACTACATAAATATGGACCAGTCCTTCACATATCAGGTAAGATCAGCCTTGGTTATACAAACAGGCTCAACTACAGCCCTGAAAGAAGTGCCCCTTCTTTGAAATGTAATGTTTTACATAGATTTTACATAATGGGATGTAATACAATGAGTTATCTGATCCTGAGTGCTACACTTGGTAAACACAACCTCTGGTAAACAACACAAGATTACATATAACCCTTTTTATTCAAATTAAGAGGTAAGTATATATTGAGCAGACATGAAGGGTTAGATTCTGTGGCAGCAGGGTTTTTTTCATTAAATACTAGTCATCAACTGATGAATGTAACTTGAAGTAAATCCAAATAAACACATTTTCAGCACTGTAGTATTCCCTTAGAGAAGTATTTGATGCTTTCTATGAATCTGAGATTGAAATGACCAGGAAATCACATTGGACTGCTGTGTGGTAGTGCAATGGTGAGGCCAAATAGAAAGGGTTTTAGAGCAACAGTACATCAATCTCCAGCACAGAAGCAGGTTGACAACAGTGCCTGAATTTTAAAAGGCTTTATAAATGTCAAGCCCGGACCTCACCCTCACAAAAATGCAGAGAAGAGACCGTATGATGGATGTGCATGTACAAATACTTACAAACTATAATCTACTGAGATAGTCTTTGAATAAAGATGGACCAAACATTCCTTTATTACAATAGGAGAGACTGATAAGGTTATCTGCTGTAGAAGATGGGGGCTGGTGGTCCTAAAAGCCGCTGAATCACAGGGTGTGTTCAGTTATTCAATCACAGCTTTTACAATTTGGTTTAGTTTGTGGTTTAAATTATCTTTGGTTTGTTTTATAGACTGCTAAACTTTTACTATGAAAGTAGATAATGCTCCCTACAACCAAATGAACGTGCTCCAATATCTGGCTGTGGACTACCTTCATTTATGCTAAATCTATTTTTCTGGAACTATTTCCTGCGGCTTCTTCCTGGTAAACTGGTCTCACCCTCCCATGTGACGTCATGGCTTGTTCAAAAGAAGAAGTAAATGAAGCATAACATAACTTGACAGGAGATTTCAAAGCAGTAATACAGCAAGGAAGCAGATATACTTGCAACAATGTCTCAAAAACTGATGGATATTACTGAGACAGCTGGGTGAATCGTAATTAATCAATTATTGAAATAATTATCAACTAATTTAGTAACTGATTACTTGATTATAGAGATTCTAAAACATATTTAGCTCAGGGGTCTACAACTTGCGTCTCCAGAGCTACATGTTGCTTTTTGGACCTTTTTAGAGCCATTTTTCTTCTATTTGGCTTGAAAATTACGTGTATTATCATTATTTTAATAGCTAAAAACAGCAATAAACTTTAAGCTGTTTAACATGGCAACAGATTCCATACGACAGATGTTTAATAAAAATAATAGATGCTTTAGCTGAAAGAGCAACCCACTCAAAGCTGTTATTACACCAATATTGTAAATAAATATAAACATTTTGCGTTCAGTATAAATATACTCTATCCAGACATCCTGAAATGGCACAGTTTTAGCTTCACTTGATTAAAATTTGGTGTACAAAGGAACATATTGCTATCTGATCATTAATAGGAAAACGTTTTGAGAGATTAAACGCTTAGCAAAATAGTCGTTAGTTGCAACCCTAGATATTACAAACCGAACAATCAGGATATGCAGTTAAAAACCAAGATGCAATAAAATTTACATATTGTTTTAATGGCAATTCCAAAGCTGATTGTATTTTATCCCTCTCTAAGAAACATGGGCTAGCTTATGGAAAATATGTTAGCATTTATAATTACAATTTAATAATTCATTTGATCACTTGGATCTGTTTTTATCATTTTTATGTATTTTCTTATGCTGTAAAATTCTGGTAAATGTAAACACGATAAAATTTTAAAATGACAAAGGAAAAATAAGTGAATATATATAAGTTAGGCTGCGAGGATTCCAGTAAGCCATTTTATGATGAATCTGTTAAAGGGACCTCACCATTTTTCATAGGAAAGCGATTACCCACCCCCTCCAGAAAACCTCACTGTGCCTGCACAGTAAACGACTCACAAACTTTCTCTCATCAATAAGTGGTGATGCAGGGATGAGTGTGATTCTTTCTGCTTGAAGTTGGGACAAAACACATCTTTTACCATCTTATCTTCACATTGGCAGCAATTTTTTTTAAAGCTAACGTCTAAGTCATAGAAATGTATTTTTTGGCTGCAAGAGGTCCCCTTACTTTTTTAAGTTTCCCTAAAGAAGAGCCTGAAATGGCCTGTCATAGAGATCTGTTCCACTGTTTTCTGAGGTCATCTGATAGGCTGGTTAATTATTAATTCACTCAAAATGTTCCTGCCATCTTGTGGGTTGTACTTGAAATAAATGTCATGTTTAGAATTGTAAAATTGGTCAAAATGTTAAAAAATTGCATGATTGCAGATTCTTTGTTTTATGTCAAACCTCTAATGCTTAAGTTCTAAAAATAGTTTCAACTTATTTTCTTACTAATTAAAAAAAAATGGTTTCTTCTAACTGAACTGCAGCAAAGTGTTTCCACTGTTTCTAAATCCCACACAATCTTTCAAGGGGTCAGTTTTACGCTGTGAATGAATTGAATGTGTTTTGCAAAAGTAAACTGATCTTCATCAGAGCAGACCAAGCATCTGCATGGCGTAGCATGAGATGAAGTTATATTATAAGCTTTCTTGAAAACAGTTTAGTTTGACATGTTTAAATGTGATGTATAGCAACCTTGTGAAGCTGAAGCTTAAATCACATATTAGTTTGTTTCTGGTTAGCAGAACCCTGTTATCTAAAACTGTATATCCCTCATCAAAAAGTACAAAACAGATAAACCTTGTGTGTTAAGGGTAGGGTTGCCTACTTTCCCTTAAAAAATATTGTCTTCCATATTAAATGTATAGTGGAGGATGTTATTTTTCCGGGTGGGTCATCAAAATAAGTGGTCATTCTAATTGTCATCATTCTGATGCTATTTACATAAGGCCATCCTACGTGCTCTTCCCCATTTCCACTTACCGGTGGTGAGTCTGACATAGTGGAAAAATTGCAAATCTTCTTTTGGAAAGTAAGCTTGTATGAGCGATGCAAAGTGAAAACTTAAAAAGAGCGTGCACAAGGAAAAATGGGCTCATGTATGCTCTCGCAAATATTTAATAGGTGTTCCCTCTCTGGAGTGAGTACATGGTTGTGCATGTGCTGTTTTTTAAAAATTTGCGTAAAATCCTGCACTTAACCTTTAGGAAACCAAATTTAGTGTCTAATTTTATTCAGGTGTGATTTACATGCTTACAAAATCAATTCCTAGTGTTAGGGTAGAACACTATACCTTGCAAAGAAGTCTACGTGATTTAAGTTTCACAGCATTGGCAACCCTAGGTAAGGATTTTGAAGATGACATTGTTTTTTATTTTTTGCAAACAGTTGCTGCTGACAGAAACAATGGATTTTGAAACTCCTATTGTGGTTATAGCTGAATCAAAGGAAACGTATGTCTACCAAAATATCACAATTCCAGATGCAAAAACAGGTGAGTTGAAGCTTTATAATCGTCTCAAAACAAATAACAGCAGCCTGTGGACACTTAATTTCTGCTGTCTTCTTCTTCCAGTCTGTCCCTCTGACCTCTGGAGCCTCATCATAGAACGCACTGGTAAGAGGATTAATGTCTCTCAAATTATGTTACTTTTCTGCTAATATTCTGTGAACGGTCAAGACAATAGTGGTCCTTTCTGTAAGGTGTGTGTATATTTACATCTAGGGTAAATCTTAAAGAGCATTTGAAAAGAGATTGAACAAAGGGTAAAACTAGGAGGGATTTTCTGCCTTATGACCTCAAAAAGCTGTGAAATCCTGAAGAAAAAATTAGACCATCAGTTTGTTAGATTAAGCCGAAGAGCACTTGGGTTGTGTTGAAAGATGATGATCTAAACACACCATAAATAAATATATTAGAAAATAAAGGTCATCCTTTTTCCTTAAATTGACAAAGTTATAATTTGGAAATAGATTTTTGAATTTTCACAAAGTCAACCTTTTCTGTTATTAAGGACTAGGGTGAATTATTTCCACTGACTAACATGTGTTTCTCTCAGTTCCCAGACTCCAAGCTGACACTGAAAACATCAGCAACGAGGTCCATCTGCATCTGCAAAATATTCCTGCCAACCAAGAGACTGTTACTTGGGAAATGGCTTGGGATGACATAAGGGGACAGCCAGAAAGATGGGTCAGTCTGCACTATCAAAAGTGTTCATACCAAAAACTAAGATGTTCAACCAGTATTTACCTGTGTAATTGTTTCATCTGAACAGCCCATAGGCAAGAGCAAAACTGTTATTCCATCAGATCTCATTGCACCATGCCTGTGCTTCCTGGTAACAAATATTTTAACAGAAAAAATATAATTAAATGAAAAAACTACAAGAAACTAATAAAATAACTTTACCTGCAGGTATGGCTGCAAGACAAAAATATCAGAGGGATGTACTGTCCTTTTACAAACCAACCAGGTAAAAGGCCTTACCTGAGCTCACTGTCAGACCTTGTGAGTGTGTGTGTGTCAAAACAAATTAAATTTTACATTAATGTCATGTTTAATAGATGCTCTGAAAAGAATGCAGCACAACGTGTCCGTGATAATGGTGGAGTCTCAGTGGAGGAGCGGGAACACAGGGCTGAGTTGGAATGTAACCTCTCCCTGCAAAGTGAAGGCAGAGGTGCGATTGTGCAAGAAAGACATGGCAGGGGGCCAGTGCGAAGAAGTGGCAGGTTCCAGGCAAATGCTCGAGACTACTGGTTGGATCACAGCCCACAAAGTACACTGGGTAAAAATAAAATTTTACACGTAGACATAGTTCATCATAGTTCATGATTGAAGCTAGATGCATCTGTGTGCACAAGTCAGACATCTGTATCGTGGATACATCTTTCCTTTTGCCAGTATTCCAAACACCTTTGTTTTTTTCAATCATGTGTGGATATTTTATTAAAAATGTTAAAAATTTGGTTTCTGATTCATATTTATCTTTTCAGCAAGCAGGAGAGTTCCTTAACTCCTCCTCCCATCCTCTGCTTTGTGTGCAGGTAACATTAGTTCTTCTTTACTAATACCAATAAGCAAGATTCTGCGCTTCCTATGATATTAAAAAACACTTTCTATATGAAATATTTTATAGGTTAAAACTGAAGGGATGGTCGTGTTCTCGGAGCCTCAGTGTCCATTCGAAAGTAAGTCTGCTGTTCAATTAAAACTAATCTAACTTTAATTTTAAAAATATGTCTATTGTTTATATTTTGTGAATAATGTTTTATACTCTGTCTTGTACTATTTCATCGTTGTAGAACCTCTGTTTTTACTGTAGGGTAAACATTCAATGCACGTTATGGCTTTTTTAAAGGAATTAATGACATATGCAAAGCTTTTAAGGTTCTTAACTAGAATATCTAAATAGATGCAGAAGTTCTATGGCCATAGAAACAAAATCTATTTATTTAATAGTTATTATGTTTATTTATTTATGTATTTAATTGTATTTTTAAGCACATAAAACAATAAGGTTTTGGGAAAAACTAAATTGTAATAAACTCAACAGCAGCTTAATAATGTAGAATATCTGCTTAAGAGTGGTTTGTCAATGATTTTCCAAACGGGCATTTTGATTCTGAAAGGGTTACAGTATTTGATTTTGTTTTTTTTTTTTTTAAACACAAGAGTTAAAAAAAAAAAACTTTCTTTCACTTTATATAGGGTGTGTCTTGCAAGTTTGTAAAGAGCTGCCTGGTTAAGTAACATTTAGGAGATATAAGGTATTTACTGGACTATTGCTGAGCAGCTTTCCTCACAGCAAGTTAAATACCGTTGGCAAATATGTTGACAGACTTCTAAATGGTTTCTCTGGGTGTCATCTTTAAAGCACTGGCAATATGTCAGCCGGTAATGTGCTTTCATTGCATAAAGATAATAACAGCACCTATTTCCTTGGAGGTAGCTGTTATGCAAGTTTACCAGAAGATTATAAATACACTAAATAGCTAGAACTGGAGGTTATAGTTAATTGACAGGTCATTTAAATTAAGGGGAAAACTAATGAATTATTATTAGTTTAATGATTATAACTGTAATTTGCTTACTGACCAGGATTCTTAGTCTTTGACATGAAAGGTTGGACTCCTAGACTGGGTGTTTAAATCTAGTCCCTTCACCTGTTTGATAATTTAGACTATGGCTATCAGCAGAGTTATTAATCACTAACCAAATAAATGTGTCTCTGTTCATTCAGATGTTAATGAAAGAAGAGTGAATCCAGCCTGAGTGATAAATCGTTTACTGCGTAAAATAAACACAAAAGACCATGGGTTAAAACACAATGGTACCTTTATTATGTAATAATCACACAATGTTATTAAATCTATAACCAAGCAAACACTAAACAGTACTGAATAATAAGCACAAGTAAATAAACAAATAAACAGAAGAGGAAAAAAGGGGTTTAAAAGCCTGTTAAAGAGTCTCTGAGGAAGGTTCAAGTTTTAAAGCTTAATAGCTTGAAAATACCCATTAGAATAAAAGCAGATGAGTGTAAATAAACCCTGATGTAGATATGTTAAATGCAGTCAAAACAGTGCAGTTAAAATTCTTAAAACCATCAGTAGAAAGCTTTTTTCAAATACAACATAAACACAACTATCTATTCTACCTAGTTCATCCAAGCAGAGCACTTATTAAGCATCAGATGGAAAGAGGGAAGGATGGATATTACTGTTTTGGCTCGATGGAATGGACTTTCTGGCTCGGTTCAGTTCTTTGCAGGCCCCGTCTTCTGTTCAGTCTGTTTGTCCAACAACAGCTCTGGATTGATCCGATGCAATAACAAGAGCCAAGGCCAGGACATCTCTCTTTAGCTGCGGAGGTTAGCTGCTCATGTAGCATGTGGCTGCTCTAAGGCAGGCAGGACCAGTATGGCACGGATCAGCAGCTTTTAATGGCTCCTTGGCAAACAGCAATTTGGCCTGCTGTCCTCCTTCGGCAGTTAGATTTAGGTCAACCAGAGCTGGATTAGCTCTCCTCTACTGCAAGCACTATTGCCCCATTTACACTACCCCTCTGAAACTGATCTGTGTCGAGTTCGGACCGAGCTTGGATCAATTAACCGTGCCAAACTTGGTTCCTTACGACTATTTACACAACACGCTAAAGCGGTTCCTTGCCCCATATCGGCGGTCCACAATACTACACCTCTCAAGGTGGGAATTACGCAAACAAAAATAGAGGCGCCCATAACATTCAGGAACTTATGTGCCTGGATAGCATCTTCCACCCAAATTTCAATGAGAGCCTCTGCATCATCCCAGGTTGTACCACGCTATTTTGATGCCATTTATTGTTAATAAAAGGTTCATGCTTTGAACAGGTGAAGAGATCTTCGAATTACAAAGCCGGACACGGTGGAAAACCCGTGAAATGAGTCAGCTGACTGTAAATAGGAGAAGACGTGCTCTGATCATGCTCTCTTTGTAATCAGAGAACCAAGCCACAACTGAACCGTGCTGAGCCCTACTGATAAACTAGTACTAGATTTAGCACGGTTCGGATGTGTCTGGGACGGTCCAGTTCAGTTGTGTTCCATTTACACTCAACACTTCTTTAGGTTACCATGCTCGCACCGATCTCTGCACCCTCAAAAGGGTAATATAAATGGGGCTTATGTCAACTTGGTTTAAATCTCAGGAAAAGACGGTCACTATGATCAGCTCCATCTGAATCATAGGAAGGGTAGTCTGACTCGGTCCAGCAAGTACAGTCTTCTCCAGAGGGATTTGGTCGCTATTTAGCGTAGCTTTAAGCTGAGCAGTGCCTTTCGTGGCCGTGGGCTACTGGCAACAGGAAGTTTAATGGGAACTAGTTCCCCTTCTATACTCTGCTGTAGGGGTGTGTCTTCAGAGGGAAGTCATTCTGTTTACGTCACTGACATTTGATCTCAACGTAACCATGGCTGACAAAAGAATAATTTAAAGCACCACTCCCTCTTAACGAAGACTTTCTACTCTTCTTTGGAAAGTAGTCCTTTCTTGAAATCTTCTTTATCAAATCATATACTCACTAAAATATTGGCTGCAAGACATAAACAGATTCCAAACATGGCTGTTGTGATTAAATTACATTTTGATAATCGTGCATTAATGTAATTTGTTGTTTAAACACAACACACATTTTCACGATAAAAAATTGAAGCAATAAAATACAGAAATACAAGTTTTACTAAATCAGTATCAACATGTTTTGTTTTGAACATATGTTCTCAGTTGTATGATGCAAAGTTCCGGATGTTCCTTGATTTATTTATTTGTTTACTTTTTAATTTCAGTACATCGGGTGAGGTGGACTCTGCCGATTCTCGTTGGATTCATCCTCATCTGTTTGACCATACTTGGAGTCTACCTGATAGGAGGCATTCTGAAAGGTGGGCATCTGTACCAATACTCTGTGTTTCTGGTGGGTAACAGGAAAACATCTAATATTAACTCTACTTCTTGTGCAGGATATGTTTGGAGGTGGTTGAAAGATGACGATGTCAGAGGTGCGTGGAATTCTTGCCTCTGGCTCCTTCTAAATAAACATGCTCTTCCTGATGCTAAAATACCTTAGATAAAACTAAAAAACCAAAACATTTAACTTATCTTCTTGCAGGTCCATGTAACAGACTAACAAATAAGTAGTGTACACATGTAAAGTTGAATTGTTGGATATATAGAGGTTGTTAGAAGCGAAGAAACATCATAAAGGAAAAAGGGAGTATGTAAATTGTAGAAAAATGAAAGGCAAGATAGTTTAAAACAATTACATAACTACAAATCTACTGAGAATAGATAAGCCAAAGCGCAAAGAAGGCTTTAAACAAAGAATCAATGAAAGAGCTCATCGGATTTCTGACAGAGCGACAGTCGGCCACAGGTCTGAGTATTCAGAATAAGAATTAGAAATACTTCAATAATCCCAGAGGGAAATTACTTTTGTTACACGCTCCAGTTACAGTTTTATATATGTATTTGTGTGTACATTGCAACCTTTAGTTGGTAACCCCCCAAATTTAAGCTCAGAGGAAGACCTTAAAATTCAAAATGTTTCCAAGTGCTCTAAATCCAGTCAGGCTGAGCTGTTTTAAAAAAAGAAATGTCTTTAGGTTCAAAGCTTGTACACACAACCTTTTTGCAGTTTAGATTCAAGCTTTTTTTTTTAAATCTCAATAAAAAGTGTTTTTGGTTGTGGAAAAATTTCAAGGCAGTTTAAATATGAACATTTTTATTTTTAACCAGTATGTCAGTTTTTTTAAAACAACTTTCTGGCTCATAAAAACAAGAATAATGGACACTGTCTTCCTTTTTCAGATGCTGTGGGTGGAGTTCATGTGGTGCTACTATCTCCACCTGATGACGATGAGCGTGTGCTGGAGCTCCTGTGTTACCTGGGCTCATCTCTCCAAACCCTGGGCTTCACTGTATCGCTTGACCTTTGGAGCAAGGGTGACCTCTGTGCCCTTGGCCCCGTGCCGTGGCTCCACTCACAACTAGACAGTCTGAAACGGCAGGGCGGAAAGGTTGTTCTAGTCCTAACCCAGACCACGTGGACTAGAGCTAAAGAATGGGAAGCATGTATCTCTGAGAATAACAAAGAGAACATTAAAGGAGTGGAGACAGACTGTGCACAAAGCAACCTTCCTCCTTCACGTCATGTGGATGTTTTTGGTGCCTCGCTGAGATGTATTCTGCAAGACTCTTCACAGGGCAAGGCTGGTGAGCGGTTCATGCTGGTGCAGCTTGACTCGCTCTCTCCTGCACTGCCAGGTGGTTTTCCCACAGTTCCAGATCTTTTTTGCGGACTCCATGTCTACAGCCTTCCGACCCAGTGTCTGGGCTTTCTGACTGAGCTGGCAGGGTCTAAAAAAATCACCTCTTCATCAGCAAGAAGACGAAGGGCAGGGGTGCTCCAAAAGGCATCAAGAACTCTTACTAAACGACTGTCGGGGTTCATAGCAGGGAAAAATGTCTTGAACCTTCCTGGGATCATTCAGGGTTCTGCTGGTGGGCAAGAGGAAGACTCTGTGGAAACACTACTCATAGAATCAAACTTAGGTACACCGCCATCTAGTCCTGACACTGTGGTCAGTATAATAGAATGGTGCTGACTACTGCGGCAGCTAATATAGGAAATATTATGGGAATCTCCAACTAACATATACCTCACTTGATGCTCTAAGACATCCTCTAACGACTAATTTTCCATACCCAAGTAGTCATTCCTGGGATGTTTATCTTGAGGTTTCTCCAGGGGTTGTTTGACAAAGGGCAGTTAAGGGTAGCATAAGTTAGGGTAGGGTCAAGCTACCCAATGTAAGAAAAATTTTGCAAAGGGGTTTTGCTGATAACACCAGTTGGGATATATTGTTCTTTTGAAAAAACAAAAAAATACTCTTGTGCTTCCATCACTCGTTAAACTTTAGGACAATGTCCATTGTGTCTGGTGTAAGTATCTGCTCCCCTTGGACTTGAGACTGCTAGTTATTGCATTAGCATGTAAAATGCAAGCTTGTAACACTTATGCAACATTAATTGCACTCCAAATAGACCTTTGGGACGTCAATGTTGCACCTCACTGTTCTTCATTAAGGATTTTCTTTGCAATATATCGGGCAGACCTGGAGTAGGGAACCCCCCTAAATAGCTTGCTGGCCTAAAATATGGCAACACAGAAACACACGAGACAAAACAACCATGTATGCACATAACTATGGTAATTCCAGGTAATCCCTTAACCTAACATGCATAATTTGGACAATATGTAGAAGGTTTACTACTAGAGAGAATACTTGGATAAGAACATAACTCTGCACTGAGGAACTGTTCGTTTAAGCTAATTTGAAATGAGTAAGCTAACATGTCAGTTTCTGCACTATAAGAGGACTATGGACTATTTTTGAAAAAAATCAAACAAGCATTTGGACAAAATTAAACTCTGCTGTAAGATATGTTAAGAAAAAAACATGTAATCCAGCAGTTTTGGTGGACGGTAGTAAAATCAACTTTATAAACTTGTTTAGCAGCAAGAGTGGCTCTGTATAGTAAACAGTTAAGCTTAATCTGCTTTAAAAAACTTGAAACGGTACTGGATAGTGAAACCATCTAGTTACACAAAATACATGAAATAACTGAACATATTTGTAACAGCTTCAAGATGGTGTTTGATGCTGAAGTTGCAGTAACAAATATGAAATGTTCAAAAACCTCAAATGGATCATCTATGTGTACTATACTCTTCATTTGATATTTGTATCAACAGTTCCCTGCGTCCAATGTTTATTTGAATCTTTTTACTGGTCTATGATATTCTTGCACTTCGGCTGGACAATAAAAACCCTGGCATTTGTGAAAGATAAACTTTAATCCATGTTTTATATATATGACAGTCTGTAAATTTAAATGTCATTTGTTCAGATATTCTGAGTTGGTTTTATACTGTGATATGTCTTATATAATTAAATATGGGGTTCAATAAAGTATAACGATGCCTGTCTTCATATATATATCTTTTTCATGTGTTTAAATCATAGATTCCCTTAATCTATCTCTCCTTATAAGGACTTAAACCTTGGGGAACTTTTCTGTTGAATTTTTAAAATAAAAAAAAAAGCCAAATTCGGAAAAAATGCAGAAAGAAATGTTATCCGCTCAAACAAACACCTGGTTTGAATGAATATAAAGTTTTTCCATTTTTGGATTCTTGACAAGAGGAAAACTGTAAGTCTTAGTCTTAATTAAGCTTTTAAACTGCTCAAATTTTCAGCATGGAGTTACTTGGAAAACTTTGTTTTTTTTAGATGAAAGCTGGAAAAGAAGTTTTTTTTCCAGCTTAGTTTTTACTTAGGGTCAAACCTAAAAAGTAACAAGAGGTTTCTGTATGTGGAGTGGATGAAAACAATCGTTGGGGACAATTTAGGGCAGGAGGATGGAAACAAGAGATTTTAGCATGTGGTGAAAGTACCAGGATAGACAGAATGTTACAAGGCTTTAGTTGTAATTATTTTACCAGTGAATGACTTGAATATATATTCTCTCTTGTAATACAAGATAAGATACAGCAGCACAGCACATTAGCACTTTTCTTCCGGAGTATTGTTTGACTTATTGTAAAATAATATACTAGAAAATACAGAAAAATGTTTAATGAAGAACAACATAAAAACAACAGGATCAGTTTAAACTTAGTCTAATTAAACTTTGATTGAACTACTCAAATAGTTTATTAGATTTATTTATTTACTTTTTTATTGCAAACATTGAGAAGTATAAAATGAAGTCAGGGCAAATTGTATATGCACCTTAAATCAGCTCAATATCAGATCAGTTCTACTTTTAAGGGTAGGCTTAAAACTTTCCTTTTTGATAAACCTTATAGTTTGAGTGGCTCAGGTTATCCCGAGCTATCTCTATAGTTATGCTGCTATAGGCTTAGATTGTTGGAGGACACAGGGAACCCTTTTCTGCATTCTGCTTCATTCTATCTCTTCTCCCATGCTGCAGTATTTGCCGGCTCAACCGCTAACTTTATGCTCTCTCTGTTTTTTATCATCATAGTAGCTTCATCTGGTCTGTTCCTGTTTGGCTGTGACACCAACCCGGAGAGAAATATCAGTTGTGCTGCTCCCTACAAGACCTTTGTTTATAGATGGAGCTGTGCTGCTGTCATTAACACCTTTGTTTATAGATTTTGAAGCTTGGCCTGTTTTTCAGTGTAGTCCTGTTTTTCTGACTGTCACTAACTGTATGTGCTTTTTTTCATCCTCTGACATCCTCTGGGAGCTGGCTAGGAGCTAGTCCACCTGGTTGTGTGTTTCCTGGATGCGGCCGCCTGTGGAGTTGGTTGACAGTTGCCTTTTGTATCTGCTTCTTTTTCTGTCTGCTCCTTGAACCCCAGTCTGCCTTGACAGATGACCGCTCACACTGAGCCTGGTCCTACTGGAGGTTTCCTCCTGTTGAAAAGGAGTGTTCCTCTCCACTGTCACTCCAAGCATGCTTGGTGTGAAGGATTGGTTTTCCATAGATAGAAAATTTGAACCAATCTGATTGTATTATCTTGTTGAATTATCTCTGTAAAGCGCATTGAGATGACATGTGTTGTGAATTGGCACTATATAAATAAACTGAATTGAATAGATTAAGTCAGACAGTGACCCACTGTCAAGAATAGGAGCAAATGCAATAAATCAGAACATCAGAAAATAAATAACAAAAAGCCATGAAATGATGCAAGATTCCTAAGGCCTATGAGACAATAATCTTCTGTAAACTTTTCAAATGTGTCCAATGTAAAACGATGCAAAACAGAATCAAAGTAAGTAAATAAAATGAAATAAAGAGCAAAATCATATAAATCAAAACATCCCAACAATAATGATAATTTGGCTACATGTTTAGTTTTAATCAGTCTCAGAGGCAGAGGCAACAAAAAGTGAGCTTTGTTTTAAAACACCTACATCTATGAATTAAAAATGTGTCAATAAATATTAGTTTTTTTAAATGCTCAAGAGAATTGGCTTCTTTTTCAAAATCAAATATGTTTTTGTCACATAATGGAGACAGTAAAAATGTATTAGACTAGGTGGGTCTGACGATTACGGAAGAGGATTAGGGCCACTTAAAATATAAAAAAAAGTTAACAGATTTGTACATGTTTATTTTAGTATAATATGGGAAAAAAGTCAGAATTCTGAATTTTTTCTCAGAATTCTGGCTTTTTTCCCCTGCAGAATTCTGACTTTAATCTCAGAATAGTGACTTTATTCTCAGAATTTTTAACTTTTTTCTCAGAATTTCTGACTTTAATCTCAGAATTCTGATTTTTTTTCCCCCCATGTTAAACTGAAATAAAATTTAAAAATGAGTAAAAAAATTTTTTTCAGTGGCCCTAATTCTCTTCTGTAAACGATTCTACAGTTTGATTGGTTAATAAATTAAATGCCAGCAACGTCATATCCGGTGTGGCAGCGGCTTCATGGAAAACAGAAGACACCAGAAGCCGCTCATTCATTCATCCCAGCTGAGTTCATCTATCTATTCCTCTGCAGACCAGCTGCTGCAGGAGCATTTCTATTGTTATTTACACCTTTTGGTTTGTAAAAGTAGGATTCCTAAAATATGAAAGAGTTTGGTGCGATGTCTGAGTGAGCCAACAGTGAAGAAGACGATCCATTGGTGGTGCAGCAGTATTTTGGTGTAATAACAAGGTACAACAATGAAAGCTTAAAGTAAAATGCAGACTCAGTAGGATGCAAAACTATCCATCCATTTTGGATTCCGTTTCAAATTAAAACATTAAAAAAGGAATTGAACAGAAAGGAAGAGTCTGGACAAGATTGGCTAAAGTTAGCGGCTAACTGACATTAGCGGCTAGCTGATGCTAAGCTAGCTAAGCTAATGTTGAAACCAAAGCATCTGTGTGCATCAATCAATAGGCTTTCATTTTACTATCAGCTTCAATAGGATAGTACGATTTTAAGTTTATCACTATGACGCATATAAGTCGGAGATCGCTTTTGTACACATTGAAATCTACTAATACCTTTAGTCACATTATGAGGAATCCCTTTCCAAAGCTAAAGCAGCCTTGTTTGATTTGAAACCATGTTATTGATTTAGTCTCAGTAGGCTTGTTAACATTTACTTACAATGTACTAAATAGCCTTTGTGATAATATGCTGCCATAGATACAATATTTAAAAGACAAATGCAAAGGGAAAATTATGCACCTGCTAGCAAGTACTCATTCATATGTAAAGCATTGTTGGCTGATATACTGAGCCCTTTTTTATTTTATTTTTTTAAACCTTAAAAAATTTCCTAGATCATAGCATAGATCTAAACTTGATTATTTTGCAAGAACCTAATATTTTCTAGTAATGAATCTAAGGTGGACGCACAAAACCAATAATCTTTGCAGAAATGCAGACAAAGTGTCAGAAGAAGAGAAACATGTTGCTTTAAACACAGATTGGCCTAAATATTCTGGTGAATCTTAAATGTTGTTTTCCTGTGTTCCCTGAAGGACCATGTGGGGAGCCTGGCCTTTGCTGGCGGCTCTGGTGCTTCTGTCAGAGCTCTCTGTGGTTAAAGTTCAGACGGCTCCATGCCAAACCTGCAGAAAACTAACTGAAAGCTTTATTAAGGTAAACCTGACCCACTGTAAGTTTTTTTTTAACTTGTCATTATTGTTATTGTTTTTTAAACCAAATGATTACAATTTTTTTTTTATAGGGATTAGAAAGAACAGCAAACAAGAACTTTGGAGGCGGCAACACTGCATGGGAGGAGGAGAAACTGGCAAAGTATGCAAGAAGGTAAGACCATTTTCTATGAGCTGAACCAATCAGCTAAGTTTTAGGATTATATTTGTTTTTGCATCTTATTATTTTAACATCATAAACATTGCTCGAAAAGTATTTAGATTAGCATGTTGGTAAGCATTTATATGGTGATTTATGTTGGTCATCACATTTTTTTATTTGCATTCACTTAAAAAAAGAACTGATATGAGATTATCGTTGAAGTTCAACATGTTTGTGTGCTTCAGCCTGTCTCATTACTGTCTTAATGATTCAGTGAGACTCGGCTCTTGGAAATAGTTGAAGCTGCTTGTGAGAAAACAGATTTTGAATGCAACCGTCTGCTGGAGCAGATAGAGGACCAGGTTGAGACATGGTGGTTCCACAGGTAAACTCGTATTGTTACCGGTGTTCTATTTTTACCAAAAACCCTGCCTTTAATTGTCTTTTTTTTTTTTTTCCCAATATCAATTTAAATTTAAACCAATGACTGTTATGTTTTTTTAATCATGAGGTGTTCTGGTGAGTCTATTTCCACTTTCTAATTAAAATGCTGTTGTTTTTTGGTTTCCAGGCAGCAGGAAGCACCAGACCTGTTTGAATGGCTCTGTATTGAGCAGCTGAGACTCTGCTGTCCACCTGGACACTTTGGACCTGACTGCAAAGGTGTGCAAAAAACAGGTTGCATTATGTTGGTAGAAAAAGAGAGAATATATATTCTTTATTTCTTTTTCTATTCATACAGGATTTAAATAAATAGTTGATTATTCTAATCATGGCATTTGTAAGCTTTTTATTAAAGGAGTCATTTTTGTGTTCGATGCAGAGTGCCCATCTGGACCCGGAGGTGTGTGTGGAGGTCTGGGCCGATGTGAAGGGGAGGGCACCCGTCTAGGAGACGGCGAGTGTGTCTGCGATCCTGGGTACTCGGGCCCGCTGTGTCAGACCTGCGCTGATGGTTACTACAGGGAGAAAAGCTCCAACAACAGCGCAGGGACTTGTGCAGGTGTGTCGTTTTTTTCAGACCGTTGTTTACACATTTCTAAACCAATTTCCTTATCAACCGGAACTGATGCTTTTATGTTAATGTCTCCTGTCCTCTTTAGCGTGCTACCACTCCTGTAAGAAATGTTCAGGGCCACAGGACTACAAGTGCCTGGACTGTAAACCTGGGTGGATTCTTCACGACAACAAATGTGTGGGTGGGTGTGGATCTGTTTTTGTGTTTATATAGCATGTTTTGGACGTTGGAACGCTGTTTGACTTTCATCTCTGCTTCTCAGATGTGGATGAGTGCGGCACAGAGCTGGCTCGTTGTCCTTCCAATACCTACTGTCACAACACAGATGGATCATATGAATGCAGAGGTATGATGCAGTACTTCCTCATTTCTATCAACAAACTTGATGTTAGATATGCCCTAAAAAATTTACTTACTAAAATTTGAACATTTAAAAAAGTATTAGGGGAAACAGACGGTGCCAAAACATTTCGAAGGCTTTGAGGCTGCTTGTTCAAGCTGCTGAACAGAGAGACGGACTTTAGAAGGTGCAGGACATTTGGCTCTTTTAACAACAAGTACTTGTGCTGGTTCGGTCACTAATTACAGACCATTAAGTAGGAAAGGAAGAAAAATTAGATTTTCATTGCAGTCTCTTTGGTCATGGTTTGTTTAAAAGGAGCAAGTTGATCTGTTTTGACTGCAGTATATGCCAAACAGACTGGATGTATTAAAAGCTATGAACAGGTTAGGTGGAGCCTTTTTAAAAGTACAAATTTTACGTAGGGTAAAAATTGCTTTAAATTGTAATTTGAAGAGCTACCATCCTGGAACTTTTAGATGCATCTGTTTTCTAACACACCTGAATCTCAATCCCCTCCTTTAGCTTAGCAGAGGCATGATATCAGACTCATTTGAGTTAGGCATGTTAAAGTGGGGTGCATCAAAAAGTTGAAGGATAGTAGCTGTTGAGGGCTGAGCTTGAGCACCCCTGGGCTAAACTGTGAGATGAAAACGAGCTGATAAAGCTGAACCTGTAAGGAACGTATTAATGGGTGGAAGAATAATTTTTCTGGTGTTTCTTGGGACATTTTTCGGGGGATTTGTTGCCTTCTTTGTTTTGTTTTTTATTTTAGTTTATTTAATATAAACAAATATTTACAAACTACCTTAAATGAATTTATGCATGATGCTTTTTGTTTTGCTCTCTGTTGACAGAAGCCTCTTAATCTTGCAGTGTTTTAAATATGGCAGTAGGTTGATGTATTATTGACTAGATTTGGGTAATAAAACCTGGTAGACAAACTGACACCTGTACTGGATCAACTGAGGCGCTGATCTTTGCACATTTGGTAACCAATAAAACAACTTTTATCTTCTCTACACTAATAAATTCTAAGCCATCTTTTCCCTGGTATTATGAACACAGTGAGTGTAGTCTGACCATTTGGTAATACAGAAATATAAAGTTGGTGGTGATCATCAGAGATATGGTACAGCTAGAGAGCCTATAGATGCTGCACAAAAATCCTAGAATGGAGCCTTGAAAGATGCTAAATTAGATCTTTGTTTACTATGATTTATCCTTACCACATGGCACAGATTAAGTTTGGTGTACCAAACAGGATTAAGTCAGATTATCAACAGCAGATGTGGAGGAAGCTGTATTTCGAAATGTTAGCAGTGGTATGGACATTTGATAGTCAAAGCGAAGTGTAGACTGATGTTTTTTTTAAATCACTAATGGGTGATCTAAACCCAATCTTTTTATTTTTGGTTGGCAAAAAAATCCAACCCAAAACGTGTTTTAAAGCAATTTGTTACACCGACTACATGAAGTTATATCTTTCTTCTCATGGTTTAAATAATTAATGACCACTAGCAGGAAAGCCAAGGAGTAAGAAGACACATTTTAATGCTGGTCTTAAAGTCCTATGTAAAAAAGAAAATCCCTGGATATTGGAAATCAGCCAGAAACCTTAAATCAAAGCATCTCTACTTTAAACTGTCTTGATATGTGACAATTCCAGAGTTATTAAGATGATTTGATGAATCCTCTGTCCAGTCAAACCTTTAGAAAGTGGGGTGTGATTTTTCAAAGTTGTATGTTTCTGATATTTTTCTGTAATTGAACAGCGTACAGTTGTACTTGAATGTGCAATATGCAATATTTAAAAAATGTCTCTTAAACGTTATCCTAAGCAATTTGCCCAAAATAGTTTATTTTTTAACCTTTCAATATTGGGAAAAATCATTTGAAATTCTTTAATTTTTTTGCAGGTGGATTATTATGATAGACTTTTTACCTGTTTCAATTAATCTGCTGTGAATCACCTACAGACATTGCTGAATGCTGCAGCAATGCTCACATAACTCGTGTCTTAGCTTCACTTTACTGGCTGCCATTTAATTTTAGATTTAATTTGAAACTTCTTGTATTAATTATTTGTTAATCCAAAATCAGGGACTCAAGATTCAAAATCGGACTTTCAATAGTCGGATGTACAAGGTTTAAGATCTTTCGGGATTAGAAACTTCAGGCTGTAGCTCCCTTATTGTGGAAATCTGTCCAATTGTTTTTACAAAATCTTGACACCTTTAATTGTTTTGTAAGGGATAAAACACCCATATTTACAGACAGTCTTTCAACTAATTGTAATGTTTTGTGAAGCACTGTTTTTGTAAAGTTCTGTATAGATACAAGTTTACTCACTAACCGATCCTACGATTGGTTTAGACAGAATTACTTTATAATTAACCTAAAAAAAAACTTGTTAATAGAATTTGACTTTATTGTCTGTATGGAGGTTTCTCTGCAGTTGTCAGAGTAGCGCAGGTTGGACAATAATGATGCTGACTGTGTGACCTTTGCAGGCTGTGATCAGGCGTGTGTGGGCTGTATGGGCAGCGGTCCCGCTCGCTGTAAGAAATGTGCACGTGGTTACAGACTGAAAGGAGCCAAGTGTCTGGGTATTCAATCTATTCTTAATCTTCTTCGTATTTCTTTTATTTTTTTACACCTTTAATCTTATCTTGGAGGCCATTGAGCCATTTCCTGTGCGTTCTCTCTCAGATATAGACGAATGCAGTGAACGTGCAATAGCATGCCCTGGGCTAAATGAGGCCTGTATCAATGAGGAGGGCTCCTTCCACTGCGACTGTGCTGAGGGATTCATCAGAAGAGATAGCATTTGTGTGGAGAATCAGCCACCTGGTGAGTAGCAGCGTTTCATCCTCTCTTTTGAAATATAACTGAATAGTAGGTTTAATAACTTTCCCCAGTTTTATACTTTAAGATATTAATATAAAACTGCACAGTCCTTTTATAATTTTTGATGATATAGATTTTCTTTTTATTGCACTATTTGCCTGCAGTTTTTTGTTTTATATGGTTTTGAGCTGCCAAACATTTCATTATATCCTTGAGGAATAATGACGAATGAAGACTTCTGGTTCTTTTAAAAACTATTTAATATTGTAAATAAAATACGGCAAAAAGAACCTACAGGCCCCTTGGAAGCAGCCCTCAATATAGTCCCCACTGACATCTGCTGAAACTAGGTTTATTCTTTTGCACAAATTAGTTAAAATTTGAAGCTTATTTGCAGCTGCTTTAAATGTCAGTTTTCCTATTAGATTTCTTACAGCGATGGCTACTGCAGTGCTTAGCAGAATAAAACCTGAAGCTGCAATTGATAAACTAGAGAGAGGTTCTGCTGTGATCAGTTCTTAACAGGCCTGTCTGAAGATTTTAGGTTTTCTACTTTTTGTCACTTAACTACCAATATTAATGTTTTTCTTTTTTTCTATTATTGAACATTTATGTGATGGAGCTACACAAAAAAATGCAAAGTATCTTTTTAAGGTTACTTATTTATTTTTTTTATTTAAAAGCATGGTGAGCTTTTGTATTCAGCCTCTATTTATTCTAACAAACCTGAATAAAACCAAAATATCACCCAGTTTCTAAATGGACTCAACCTTTCTGTTAGTTGTAATATAAATACAGCTGTTCTGGAAGTCCTATAAGTTTTATCATAGCATTGTAATAAAGGAGTAATTGCATAAAGGAGCCAGTATGTTCAAACTTCTTTAAAATATTTTAGTCTAACATACTTTGTTCCTTATTTAAAAAAAGTCCAAAGAGTTATACCTAAATAGCAGAGATTGTTGTTGGTCCAGATGCTGCTAAAGCAATCCTTAATTTCAGTGTCTTTTATTATTTATAAAATATCATTAGGCCCAATTACTATTTAAGCAGATTCAAAGTCTGTATTTTGTTTTCAGTTGTGAAAAATGTTAAGTTGGCTTTAATTTATCTATTTTGTAATTGGAGGGGAAAAAAGGTGTTGGAACCCAGCAGTAGGGAACACAGCATCAGGTCAGATGGATCCAAAACTCAATTGAAACTGAGCTTTAATCCCCAATGGTGAAAGGGGTTTAAGAGAAAGGCGGAGGTTTACCCTCTGGTTGAAATTTTCTGAACACATGGCCAGATCTATAATGGTATCCTTAACTTCAAAGTCTATTGAAGAAAACCCTGGATTTAACAGGACATACATATAGATAAGACAAGTATGTGGTTTGATTTGGAAGTTTGTGAGATCAATAAAGTCAATCATTCATTCAATGAAGTGCATCGGTAAAGCTTTCAGTTCCAACTTCCTAGTTGGAAAGGAACCCATTAAGATGTTTGGTTATGAAGTTTCTTTTCCCCTCCACAGCTGGCCCAGAGAAAGGATTATTCGACGAAATGACGGATGACGAGGTCCTTGTGCTGCAGCAGATGTTCTTCGGCGTCATCATCTGTGCCCTTGCTACACTTGCAGCAAAGGGAGACATGGTCTTTACTGCCATTTTTATCGGAGGAGTAGCTGCTATGGCTGGATACTGGCTGACAGAGAAGGGGGACTACATGCTGGATGGGTTTCTGAAGGGGCGCTAGGCTGCCTGAGACTTCTGTTATCCAGACAGGAAAGGTGATTAGCCAAAGGCAGGACATTATCTTCGTAGTTAGCCTTTCAGGGATTCAATTGTGATCACATAACTTAAAGGGCTCGGGTTGATTACTGTATATCCATGAAGAGGATTATGCAAGAAAAGGTAAAGACTATGATGTCATAGATGAAGCAACACTGCACTGATATAAAACAACTGATCTTTCTTTATGTCATGTTTGCCTGTGGCAGGTTTCTGCTACTCTTCAGACGGTAGTCATGGACATGCAGTTAGGTCGACACCCAAATCACCCCTGCAACACATAGTACATGCAGTCTGAGGAGAGTTTTTTTTATTTTTATCATGAGCTTTTTCACTGAATGACATTTTGCCTCTTTCTCCACGAATGTTTGTCACAATGCATGTTATCTATTTGAAATGAAAGATTCTGCACTGTTTTCATTTCTTTACTTTAGCATGGATGCATTTGATCTTTTAGCTGCTGGGTTATTTATTTTATTTATGTTTAATGAGTGTGAGTGTAAGGATAATTTAAATACCAACTGTAATCTGGATAAAGCCAACTTCTGTTGCCTTTTTAAGCCAATATTTATGTTTGTGAATGTTTAAATTAACTGCTTGTCTGCAACATCAATGCAAACCATCAGTTGTAATTAAAAATATTATTTTTAAACTATTACTCATTTTATTTTATTGATCCTGTCATTTACCTGGAGTGGAATCATCCACAGAGGTTTGCTTTAAAATAAAATTAGATTGGAATTAAGTTTTTTAAGATATTTGTTTAGTCCTGTTGTTACAAAAAAAATAACATTTAAAGATATTGGTAGTTAAGCAGCATGCAGAAAAAATGGTTATGAAGACAGAAGCCTACACTTGGCAAGCACTTTCCTAAAGGTATAGTGGAGGATTTTGGCAAATTTCTGACCCGCCCTCTCCACTTAAAAAAAAAAAAATATATATGCCCATCCATGGACATAATCTTTTTTTGGGGGGGCATGTCCCTTGCACTTTTTCAAACAGGTTTTACTGTCCAAAAACAGTGTTAAGCTACAGTACACAACATTCGTCGAATACTAGGACCAGTACTTAGATTCGGCAAAATAAATTGGAGGTGGCCTCCCATGATTATTAAGCTGATCCCAGTGTGAAATTTGTCCCCAAACCTTCGTCTCTAACTATGTAGGGGCAAAGATAGCCATGCCAGTCGAGGGACTGACTGCAGTTCTACTGTAAGGTGCCTTGGTCAAGTTCAATGACTGCTGTACCTGACACGTAACAACCATACCATGCATTTTGTTTAATACTCTATATTAATTAGGCTATGTATGCTTTAGAAAAAAAAAAATTCCACCATTCTCTTTTTTTTTCCTGAATTTAGACCGCCCACCAGCTCATCTGTTTTTTCTTGTGCACTGAAAAAATAATGCAACCATTTTTGGCATTTACTTAATCATATAAGTTACTTTAACACAATTGTTTTATGTCCTGCAATGCTAACATGAAACAATTGTGTTAAAGTAACTAAATATGATTAAGGGTCTGTGGTTGGACGATCAAACACCCTGAAGTTAGTTAGATTAAAAAATACTTGATTTAAAATTTAGCTACGGTAAATAAATTTAAGATTTGAAAATAAATATAACAATTTATAGATGTAGAAATGGATGTATTATATAAATATAGCTCAAGTATTTAAATGTGGATTTAACTTTTATATTTAGCATTTGTTGCTAAATGTGTGAGGAAAAAGCCCTAAATGTCAAAGAAGTGTTGTAATTAGAAATGTTTTAGTTTTTTTTGTCTAAAATTTTACATTTTGCACACCAGGTGTTATGTGAATGAGTCTTCAGATGCAATATAACAGCAGCGATTAATGATGCTATTCCCATAAAATCTTATTTGCAGCAGGCCATCTTCACACTGCCAATATTTTACACTGTACATGAAAGCGCTCCCACATAAATCCTATTTAGTTCTCCCAACAGTTTTATTTATAAAAGAAATGCTCCTTTAGAAAAGATAGACTATCTAATAGAAATGGAACTTTATTGATCTCACAATGAAGAAATTAACTCTCTGCGTTTAACCAATCCCCTTTGGGAGCAGAGGGCTGCCACTTTTCAGTGCCCAGGGAGCGGTGTGTGTTTAAGGGTTTTGCTCAGGAACCCAGAGTGGCTGTGAGGATCCAACCGGGTACTTGCAACCTTCTTAGAGCCCAAGAACACTGTTCTAACCCACTAAGCCAACTCTCCCCAAATCACCCTCTCCTGACATAGATATATGCAGATTTTATAACTCAGCTGTAAAGTAGAAAATACTCAGGGTTAGTCCAAACAACCCTGCTTCTGAGCATGGTTGGTTTTACTGAATACTTTTTTCTGAATTTTATTCAGCCTACTGACTTTTTAGCTTTATATAAAAAGAAAAGGCCAGGATATGCAGAAATGTACCCAGAAACATTAATTTGTAAAATAGGGCCCTGCTGAATTGCTTGTGCCAAACCTCTACCAAAATGAGGACATTGTCAGATGTATCTTACTTTACTAGAGGAAGAATTGAACTGCTGGAAAACATTTAATCAGAAAAGAGGTGAGAGGCACAGGCTTGAGGTCAGTTAGATGTTTTCCACAGTGAATAATCCAGGGAGCCATGTCATCTATCATTGTTCACCTGTGTTTTAAAAAGAACTAAGTCATTGATCCATCTATCTAGAGATCCTTAAGATGCTGATTTAATTTTCCTGTAGAACTTGTGTCAATAATAGGAGGAGAGAGCCCCAACAATGGAGAACAGCTGAGGGTTGCTATTAAAACAACATGGCCTCACTTTTCAGCAGCAACATAACCTCCATGCAACACTGCATTACTGCAGGAAGGAAAGCCCTGACCAACGATTGAGAGCGGACATTATACAGCAGATGCATATGTTTTTCTGTTTAACAAATCCTTTATTTTTAATGGTCTGATGTTTTTTTTTTCTTCCAGGAGTTTAGCTGTAATAATCGAAATTAATATAAAGAAATACTCTATATGGAGCCTTGTGTGACGAGTTTTACCTTTTGAATCAAATCACTACTTGTTGATGTTCTAATTTATTGAGATGCACATCTACTTAAAAATAAATTAAAAACATATCCTTTGTGTTAGTCACATAAAATATGTAGACTAGTTCATCTGCATTTTTTCATTTCTCCTTGGTGGCTGAGATGAAGCCTGAATCGCAGGTTTTGGCTGCTCTGAGTCACGCCAGGGTTCCACTCCAGTTAATGGGGTTGATGAGCAGAAGCTCTCCCTCCTTCAAGGCCTCCTGGGAATGTCTTATTGCTCTGTCCCTCCAGCTCTGCTCCATTAGCTGCACACAAAACAAGAACAGCCGAGGCAAGGAAATAACATCAGTAGTTTCCTGTAACCTCAGAGAATGCTCCAGCACACATTAGTACACAGATGTATTAGTAATGGATGCATAATGCATGTGTGGGACTGTGCCCTCTTGCTCTCCTCTGTATGCTGTCATTGCTTTGCTTTGCTCAACCCTCTGTTGTCTCTCACTTCTTAGGGCAAAGTGGTCTAACTCTGATGCTCGGCTTCCTTTACTTGCCAGCTGCAGCTTGAGGTCAATGCACTTCTTCTCCATCTGTTTATTTATCTGCTCCTGCATCACCTTTCTCTCAGCATAAACTATTACTTAAAACTTCAGAAGAGTGGAAGGCAAGCTGACACATGTTTTACCTGTACGCTTCTGTCTTGCTGCCGGTGGTTCCATAAAAGGCTTTCCTCTACATCTGTGAACTGACACAGCAGCTTCCACTCAATTCCTTTACTTCCAACCTGAAATGTTCTCCTCTTTGCATCATCAGTGCTCTCTTGTGGTTATGATGGTGAACAACGGGTGTTTCAAGACTCATGGTGGTTAGAGGCTAAAGGAGTCTGCAGAGGGTCCAACCTGGGAACACTGTAAATACTAGTCAGAATTTAATACTGTTGTTTTTATGCGCTTTAATTTAATCTAATTAATGATAAATTTACCCGACATTAGGCCAAAATCAGGTATTTATTGCCTGATTGCTCATAGACAGACAGCCAAGGTCTGGGAGGACTGGATATCTAATCGGAGCGACAATAAGGCTGGGATGGTGATGGGAAGGACAGATGGGTGTTGGAGCAAATTTTACCACATACTGTGACTTAAACCTGTAGCGAAAACTTGCACCATTTGGATCATAACGAATTATTTAGAACACCTTCATAACTTTTTAAGTTATCCTGTACACAGACAGACACTCAAACTCTCTAAAAAACATAATCCTCTTTGTGGAGGTAAAAAACAATAAATCGCTTGTTCTATAAGAAGGTTGCAAGAACCCGGTTTGATCCTCACAGCCTGCATTCTGTGTCTCTGAGCAAAACCCTTAACCACACGCTGCTCCCCGAGTGCCGCACAATGGCAGCCACCTACTTCCCATGGGGATTTGTTAAATGCAGAGATCAATTTCTCCAGTGTGAGTTCAATAAAGTTCAATTATTATGTTAAACTGGCTTTGTTTGCTGAAATTTTCCAAACTCCTAGATCTTAAAAAAAAAAAAAAAAAAAATATATATATATAATAATAATAATAATATATATATATATATATATATATATATATATATATATATATATATATATATATATATATATATATATATATATATATATATATATATATATATATATATATATAATATTAAAGTGGATTTCCTATTCTGAATTACAGACTTGTAAAGGTACTAGTTAAAGTTAAACAAGAGCATTCTCTCAGTGTTTTGCTCTGACAATATTCTCCTTGGGAAAGAGGTTACTCACGCCTCTAGTAAAACAAAATGTCAGCGCTGACTGAGTAGCCACGCATCATTGGACTCAAATAGAAAAACTGTTAGCCTGTGGCAACAAATTACCCAGAATATGACAGAGAACATTTCCGGATGAGATCTAGGTTTGGAGCAAAACAAAGAGGAGAATCCTATCAACTGTTAAAAATAAACACTTTTATTGAACAGGATAATAAAACTTGTTAAAAAGGTAAACATTTGAAACAATATAGCATAATTTTTAACTTATTCAGAATTAAAAGTGCGACACGCTGTTGGTTTGATAATGTCTGTGTTTATACAGCAGGGCAGTTCTTCTTGCTTTAAGATAAAAATCTTCCTCGAAGTCGCTCATTCTTCAGATTCCCAACGTCTCATGGTTCTCCCACAGCCAGGCGTGGTATTTATTTAACTTGTGATCTTCAGGCTTCACCTTTAACAGAAAATGACAGACTGTCACATTTAGTTTAAGCCTGAATCCAAACAAATACTGTGAGGGATGCGAGTTCATTCACCTGTCTCCACTCTTCAACACAGAAGATCCTGTACGAGTCGTTCCCATACTTTCCTATTCCATGCAACTCTATGGGGTAACGCCACTGTTTGTTGAGAAACTCATCTAAGCAGGAGAAAAACTGTTAGTTTCTCCCAGTCTTGGGCTGGGAAAAAAATTTTTTGCTACTTTCTTTTATTTCTTATTTCTTAGCATGTTTGGTTATCAACATCTGACGAATTAAAATAGAGGCTTCATAGGTTTTGATGCAGGACCAGCAGGTTCTGTAACAGCTTTTTCCCTGCTGCCATAAGACTGTTTAACTGTTAAAAACTC